CGGAGGCCCATCACGGTTAGAAATCTCCACACCGTCGCGACGGATACATTAAAATTCGGCGGCTACAACGTAAATATATTTTAGTGATTTTACTACCTGCCTTAAACGCGCTAGTCTCCATTATACTTAAAATTCTTTAGAAAAAAATAATAGACAGGCAGGTGGCGTCCGTATGTTATTCGAAATGTCTAGAGTGCCGCGTCGTGTTTCTTCTTATCTGGCGACCGACCGGTTTCGGCCGAGGGGCAAAAAAAGGACAACGCGGCGCACATTCCGTATAATATTTATGGATGCCGGGCAGGTCGAGACGCCTATTAGTTTTTAACGTAAATGTACAAAACCCGCACACACCCCCGTCGTACGGACCGCCCGTAGACCCGTCTCGGTCCCACGCTATAACAAAATACCCCTCGTACGGTTTATACCAATACACTTGTACGGTTTTATGCTGTTCTGCGGGGGGGGTGTGGTTGGGTTGGCGGCGAAGACGCATTCCTGGGGACAAGCGCGTACCCAAATGTTATAAATTATCATTATACGCGGTGTCCGTTTGGCTCGTGTGACACGCACACAAATGTGTCTGAAAATCTATACGATTCGACGGTTTCGACCGAACAACAACGTTCTATACAGTGTATATATTTTATTATTTTATAACTCCGGTCGCCTTTCAAACAACCCCGTACACTCCGTATTATGATGTTCGGAATAAAAATCCCCCGCACTAATGCGCATAATATAATAATATTGTATATTATATTTGTTTTTGTTTTTCGTTCGACCAACTGTCGATGAATCTGTTGCCAAGGCCACGATGCCGTGCAATGCAATTCGCAATAGTATTTGGAATTTATGTAAACGTTCGCGTGCCGTAGCAATGTAGCACACTTGTATCATACGAAAATATTAGATATGTGCAGTGGTCCCGTATTCCTCGACGTAGTTGAATAATCATTGTCTACGATTATTATTTTACATCGTTAAAATATTATCCAGCAGCCCGTATTTTTTTTTAACTTTTTCGGTCCCCTTCGCTTTCATTCGAAATATTTGGAATCGGTCGCTCGTTCTAAACTTCCACTTGACCTGCGTCTTCCTTCCTAGCGTATAGGTACACCCGCCATCCGCGTATCATTCTTAATCGCTTCCGATTTCTTTATAGAATCCCTCGTATTTCAGATTTTTCGGCTCGTAGAAAGGCATATATTTCCGTTTTTATAATATGGTGGTCGGAAGCGCTGCACTTTTCAATATTTTAAATTCTGAACGGAGTGAAGAAGATATTGGTTTTACAATGATGTTTATTCTATTTTGTATTTATGAACAACTTTTCTACCATTGATTTCGCGCTGATTTTCTGAAATAAAATCTGACTGGAATGGTACTTTAGGGAGGTAATTTTTTGATATTCCAGGATTTTTCCCGATAAATGGGAAAACACGAAGGAAAAATGGAAAAATAAGTAGAATATTTAGCAAATTTTAATAAAGAAAATATGTAATTATATTACCATAATATGACATATGTATTGTTGACAAAGTAATCCTATTAACTGAACTTCACTCAGAATCGTTTTTCGTTAGTAATGGTTAATCGTTAATTAAAAATTAATAAATTTCCCCTCTATCTTTTCAACTTCTCACATACAACAGTGGTTCACTCATATGTGAAGTTTTTACGTTTTTTTATCAATGTAATATCTTTTTTTAATTTTTTAAGATTTAACTTGAAGTTTTATTGTAGGACTTGCCCAATATAAAATATCACATTACGCCACTGTTCACGATACAAAAAAACTACCTATAAAACCACCTATTTACTTAATAAAAATATTTTAAATTAATTTTGAATTATAATTTTATCAATAAAATGTGACTGTACGACCAGTTATATTTAATGTTAAAAAAAAAAGTTGAGTGTATTATCTCCGCGTTTAAAATTCAAATTTTTACAAAAATCTTACAAATCGCGGCATTTCAAAATAAGTATAATCAAACGTTTTCGTTAGAAATAATTTATCGAGACAAATTTGAACATTATAGTTCCAAAATTAACAATTATACTGATTTTGCAGTTGTAACTGATATCGTATTCTAAACGTTAAATTTAACCAATTTCGATTTGAATTAGTTGAATTTTAAAAATTGAAAATTAGTTACGTTATTAAATGAATAATTTTTACTCTCGCGAGCCTACGATATTTTTAAAAGTCGCAAACGCGCTACTTGTCTCGTGCGAGACCCTCAGTTTACGTCACCGGTTAGCCGCAACGAAAATGTATATAAAAATAATAATAATAATACTAGTTGCCTTACAACATCGTTACTATATACTATCGGTCTCGTTGATAAAAAGTTGTTGAATAAATCACAACAAATCGGTCGACTGAATAGGTACGCATTTGTATCACGAATAACACTGCACAGTTCGATAATAGTGTTAGGGATTTTCCTTGGGGTTATTATTTTATTTATTTTTTTTCGTCGTGGGATTTTTATTTCTGAATTCCGTAAGATTGTTTACGATAAACGTTTCTTTCGGAATGAAACTCGGCGTGCGGTAGGTAGGTATAGCGCACATACAATCCCAGCGGGAGTTCGGTATATAACGCGCAGATGATACCGAATTTCATCCCTCCGACTGCACTGCACACGTGTTTTTATTGCGCCAAGCGTCGTCGTCGTAATCTCCAATACGTTTTTGTATTATACGCTCGGTATTATATTACATTATAACATTTTGACCTTGATTTCACCGAAAAATCAATCCGGCGTTCGTAAAGGTCAATCAGGAAACCGTATCTAGTAATATATTATAATTTTATTATTATTATAATCTAGATTATTGTGACTCGAGGATATTTTTCCTATGCGCTCAGCTCGGGCGCAATAAACTACGGTTTTATAAACATTTTAAAATACGTACAACGCTGCGATAATTTATGGCCCCGTTTATTCCGTAGAATACTATAATAGCTGTCCCGCCCGGTCTAATCTTATTCCCGGGTCCTCTATATTTTTTTTTCCTTTCGATCTATTCAAATTAGAACGTTTCGAAACCCGAAATCCATGAAATAAATTCAATTTAACGTGTCTACGCGTTTCCGTTCCCGCCGCTTTCACGGTTAAATCGCTGGGTATAATTTATATTTTAAAAAGAATGTAATATGTACCTCATTGGCCTTGACAATCGAATTAATTAACTAATAATAACCGGTTTAGAAAAAAAAAAAACAAATTATATTATTATTTAATCTCGGCACCATATCATACGTGCACCAAGGTTAACCTTGAAATCAACCAATACCGATGTTCTTGAAACTTTATTAACTTAGACTTTTACGCGTTAGGGACTGAGATTTAACACACCGGCTCTGAGGTGCACACGCAACCGTTCATACCCTTCTCCATGGATATTTTACACACACACATTAGCTTTTATTATTATGTGTTTTGAAAAAAGATACGAGCAATTTAATTTGTAATATCTAGAATGAATATTCAAAAGTGAAAAAAAAACCGGGCATAATTCATACGTGAGTGGGCCACTTGTAGGTGAGAAGTTGGGAAGGTACAAGGGAAATTTAATGTATAACCGTGTAACGAAATTTGCTAGCGAAAATTGATTCTGAGTGAAGTTGGGTAAGATATATTTTGAAATGCCGTTATTTTCGTTATGTTCACGATATTCGACAAAATTTTGTGTTTTAAAAAAAAAAAAACTAATGTGTTAAACTTTTATAAATTTTTCAAGCATTTCTCTTAAGTCGTATAATTATAATAACAGATATCTACCAAACAAAAATACATATAAAAATATGAAAATATCAAATACCCATTAATAGCCGAAAAATAGCTAGAAGGTATTGAAAATTTGACTACGTCTTCTAAAGACCAATATAAGTATTTTGTAAAGACTCTAGGTCTCTAAAATAATTTTTAAATGAATAAGAACAAAACGTGATACATTTTGCAATATTATACAGATCGTATGCAATATTATTTTCCCATCGGCGGCTGATCGACACCTATTTAAAATTATTTACAACGAGCATTTTTTTTCTCGGAAAAATTGGCGGTGCTCTTTGCGACTAAACTGCAGAACCGGTGCAAACAATTACCGTGATACGATAGCAATAGTGTAACAAATTTACTTGACTTCAACGCTAAAGTTTAATGTATCATTTTTATTAGGTATATACGAAACTGTGGAAATGTATTTTGTTTTAGAACGTGTTTACTGACCATAATACAACCCCACGCGCAGTCCGTAATCCAAATTAATACGCACTCGAGCCGATCGTATAATAGTATACCCTGTCTGGCAAAATCGCAAGGAAATTCAAAAGTTTCGAAAAGGTACGAGTGCGCAATTATTGTTGTATTGTAACGCGTTCAATCGAAACGCACCCACTTAAAATCTTTTATTTATTTATTTTTTTTTTTTTTTTTTTTGCACGGCATTCCTGCAAAAAGTTTATTTTCATTTCGTACGGTTGAAACAAAATCCAAAACAAAATATTTATTATTTTCCACCGTATATTCGTATATTATATTATGTACGTAGGTACAATTTAATATTTGTTATCTTCAATTCCTCCGCGCGTTCAATTTTCAAACAAAATGTTTTATATATATATGTAGGTCGTGCTTACATTTCAATAATAAATAATATTAGATTTTAGAACTTCCCGGTAGACAAATTTCAGTTGTGTGTGTTTGATAGCTCATTTGTTTATTCGTGGGTGTACGCCGTCCGCGACGGAGCGTTCCGTTTTCCGCCACAGCCCTCATAATTCAAAATCGTCAATGTTCCTTCCCCTCTCCGCCTCTTTTTATCTATTTATACAGGTATGTCGTTCTGTACGGTACAATATATAAATTTAAATTTTAACTATCATGCTGATGGCGCTTATCATGACCTCATAAAATCGTTTTAGAGAAACCTTTTTCACAGAATGAAAAAAAACACAAGATTCGGTTATACGTGTATTTTTTTTAATTTTTTTTTTAATTTTTTTTTTACAATAAAGAGCAATCTCGTAAACAAATTAATTATCGTCAAGGTTTATATATTTTATTGTACGCGAACGGCGCCCTCGGTTTCGTGGCCAAGTAGAATTGTCCTTTGATCCTGTAAAGTGTATGAAAGCAATACGCATTATCAGTTTCAGCATTTCAAAATAATTATAATAATAATATATTATTATAAAGTTAAATGCGCTTACTGTTTGTTCACGGCTAATCCCATATACTGGACTTTGTGGTCTTTGGAACGCGCAAAAGCTTTGAAGCACGTGCCGTTCGTGAAAGACTCGTAATTAACGCAACGCAACGATGGAAATCCAATGGGGTTGATAACGGATTCAGCAAAATACTCCCACGCTCTGTCGTGGCTGCACGCAACTGAAAGAAATTCACACGGTATTAAATTTAGAAATTATTATAAATCCTACCTATTTTAGATTATGCGCGGCTCATCGGCAGTATCAGCCTTATTTTTATTTATTATTATTATTATTTTTTTTTTTTTGTATATTATTGCATGAATTAAAACAATTAGTATAAAATAAAATTCGAACAAAAAATAAAACAATGCAAACAAAACCCGGTATGTGGAAATCAGTTGAACAATTTCTAGTGGAGTTTTAATTTTTATTAATTTTTAACTACGACATAGTTTCCGGGAATTTTACAACTTCTGATATTTACAATATTTACACAAAAAAAAAAAATGAAAAATTCTAAAAAAATTCTATACTTTTAAGTTATAACGAACATTAGATCAAAAAAATGTTCATACCTTATGTGCAACTAAAACGATTTTGTATAAACCGAGACAAAACTAAATATCTCGAAAATTGTAAATAGGTAGTTATAATAAAAAATGCAAAAAAAAAATTTACCAGGTTTTAAAAATGTGTTCACATAATAATGTTTGGAGAAAATGTGAAGTATTACTTTGATTATAGCTTACTACATAATTCATTACAAGTTTATAACAAAAAAATTACACCGATATTGGCCGAAAACCGGTAGCGTTGCGTGTAGGTAAATATTCCCGTTTTTTCGATTTTAATCCAAATACTGAGTAGAGAACGAGAAATTTCAAAATATTTCAACTATACATATGAATACTATACAATATTCCGTCAATGTCAATGCACCGAATAAGATTGAAATTATAAAAAAAGAAAAAAATATTCCTCACCGCGCATGGAGTCCAAAAATTAAATACGTATTACTGTTTTTTAACGCATAATAATACGTCGTGTATAAAATTATTTACCTACTTAAATATTTACATTGTTACCACTACTACCTACACACTATTGTATCTACTCGTGCCATAAAAACACTATCGTGGTCTTATAAGAAACGATAATATAATTTAAAACAACTATCGAATTTGGTCCAAAATCGTATTGCGTTAATATCATCGATTACTTACGTGTGTCCTGATAAGTTTAAAAACTCAAAAACTACGAAAACTCGCACAATATATATTTTTTAATAAATTTATAAGTTATGCCTGCGAAAAGAACACTTACAAAAGAATAATTAAGCCGGCCAGTTTTAACTGATATATACACAGCAAATTCTCGAATTAGAGAATATTATTCGTACAAAAGTTCAAAGTGTTCCCCTGATAGCAAGTAATAATATTGTACTTCAATATAGTATACTTATATTAAACATAGTCTGTAAACTCGAAATAACTATTTTCAACGATCCATTCCGCCAGTAGGTAGTAGGTGCCGAGTCAGTCAGTTGACAAAAACCTTTGTAAGTATAACATATACGGGTTACCTACCCACTTAAAATCAATTTATTCCCTTTAGACGGTTCAAAAAGCGTAGGTAGGTATTATATTTATAATTAATGATGAAATTCATTGAATAGTTGAAGTCGACGTTCAAGTTCATTTTCTGTACGACTGTTATGTGACTTATATAATATTATTATGTTGACACTCGTGAATACATAATAAAGAAGCCGTGCATAATATTTTCATGTTTTCTATTGTTAAATTCAACAAACTGTACTCTGCCGCTGCGAGGTGTCCATGGCAACGTAACGCACTTTTATCACTCCCGACGTTCGCTGCGTAATAAAATGTTATGCCGGAAAAACTTTTAGCGATATATTTCACAAATTTATTATACATAACAAATCTTTCTTTTTTTTTTTTTTTTTCAAATTTAAAAATTCCCTTTATTAACTTTCTGGGTAACCTAAATGTATATATTATACATATATTTTTTCTTTTGTATAATTCAATTGACTCGTATGCAAGTTAATATGCATGTTAAATGATTATGTTTATACAACGATTGTAATTTTTTTTTTTTTTGAATATCAAGCGCATTATAAGTTTAGGGATTCAAAATATTATATTTTTAGAAGATATTTCTCGCATTGAATTCACAGCCTTATTGTTAATCAAATCGTATGTACCCATTCATTTAAAAATACAGATACATATAATGGATGATTGCTAGAATATTTATACAGATAATTATTATCTGTAGATTTAGATACAATTTTAATTTCTTAGACAAAAATTAATAGCAACTTTCGTCTATAGAAAAATAAAAATAAAATAATTTTGTTAATTACCTATCAAAAAACTAAGTGTTAAAAGTACCAAAAGTGCATAGCAGATTAATTTTGATACCTATACCCAGTGACGTATAAACATTTTTATCGCTGTTTCATAAGAATACATTGTTTACGACATATTGAGATTTCGAGCGGCACACGTTACATTATGCACTGTTCGCTTTGAGTTCTATAACACATTATTTTATACCCCGGGATCTAATGTAAACTATGGGATAAGATTGATGCAACCTAATAATTAATTAATTTTACCATACCTAGTTATATAAATTAAATATTTAATCTAATTATTTATTTCAGATAACTTATTTCTCATTTGTCTAAGATAAACTAAAAGATAAAAATATAAGTACCTATCCAGACAATTTATCTAATTGAAACAAAACCTTTCTTAAATTAAGACTGTTAAAATATAGAAATTAATATTGGTAAATTCGATAACTCTTTAATTTATACACATTTTTTTTCGGTTTAATATCCAAACGTTTTTGAAATGTTGAAAATTTAAACTGTAAATATAATTATTATTACAGCTAATGTCAAATTATTATCAACATTCATCAAGTGCAGTATATTTATTCAAATTTAATTATAAAATAGTGTTTGGAAGAAACGCGTTATAATCTTCGTGTTATAATAATTGAACGTCGCTTTTCATTGTCAAAACGGAAACGATTTTTATATTATGTCCATGGGTCTGGATGGGGCTATTCAAATAATAATCGTTGTGCATAGGAACCAATTTAATTTTTATCACTAAGGTTGGTTTAAATTATTTTGAACCCTTTTGTAACCGTAGGTAATGATTTTATAATATTTTAACGCATTAACCGTCATGATGTATTATTGTTATAACTGTAGTTCGGGGTTTGTAATGATTCTATAAAACATTTTAATAAAAACACTTGAAATATTTATTAAAAACGACGGAATACTTTTAGAACTTTTAATTATACTATACGAAATGTGACGGTTGAATGTTTTAAAATGTTCGACCGCCCCAGCGTCATGGACAAACGCACGGAAGACTTTATAATAATATATGTGTTTACAATAATAAACGTTTGATCCGGATCATATTACTCAATGTTCATAACGAAAAATAATTACAAATTTCTAAGTACTGTATTGAAATTGACGTTGTGTCATTATAAAAATAAATATTTTATTTTTCAAATAATTCAAACACATATAAACAAAATATCATATCAATAATAACGAAAAAAAAAATTTCAAAAAATCAATTTTGAAAATAAACATTTAAAATTGCGTATAGGAGTGTGGACGAAATGTATAACTGTTCCGTAGATTCCTGTTGAAACGATAAAAAAAAATATAAATATAAAGGTATTTATTCAAATTTCTAATGACAACAACAGTGCGATAGTTCGTTTTCGATACTGAACGTGAACGTTTGAAGGTGGAATTGCACGCAAACGTTTTAGCATTTACCTATATTTACCTATAATATTTATATATATATCCCCTTGTGTGGGGAAGAAAGGAATAACTCCCATGTATAGATTTATTTTTAGATTCTGAATGCAACGAGATAATAGTTTTACTAAAATGTTTTTTTCTCTCAAAGAACACTTTTTCGGTGACCAAAACCTATCCCATTTTTTTTATGCTGTACCTACCTCAAGAGATGCGATTTTCACCTGATAGTACACTTTTTGGAAAATTGTTCGATATTTCCAATACTTTTTCCAAGAAATAACACTTGATTTTTTATTTTAGAAACACATTTTTAGTAAGTGAGATATTCCAATTTTTTCACACAGCGTACTTTAAAAGACGTGGAGTTTTTACCGGTGGTGCTTTATTTAAAAAAAAAATAGCATACCATTACAGATGTACTAATGTGCATTAAAAACAATTTAAAAAAGAGCTGATTTTAAGGATGGGAGAAGCCACTATTGTAGGTGAAATGTTGGGAAGGTAGGATACATAAGGTTATTTCAATTATATCTGTAAGCAACGTTAAACCATTGCTTGACGGAAGACGATTTCGAGCGCAGTTTGGTAGTACATAATTTAAAGTGCCATATTTTTTTTTGTGATTTTCGTTTAAATTTGATTTCAAAACACAAAAAAAAAATAGTCATCCGATGATTTTAATAATGTTACCACACCTAGGTAAGTCCAATATAAATATTATAACCAAGTTTCAGGTCTCTACGTGTATTTATAACCGAATTACATCAAAAAAACTCCCAAAAATTTAAATTCCTTAAAAGCTCAAAAGTTTTGGCAATGACACCGTGAAAAAGTAAATCAAGAATACCACAAAAAAAGTGCCTTGTGATTTTTCGATTAAATCATTCTTTTCTGGTAGAAAACGTCGTCCGTGTTTTTATAAAATAATGGAATCGTGAAATTGCACATTTTCCTACGTTTTTTCTCACTGAAGTGCTTTTGTTTAAGTCAAAAAAGAAAATCAAAAATTCAAAAAATGACCTTCAATAGTACAATCTAGACAACTTGAACTTTCAGAAAAGTTGCTTCACGTAAAAATCGGAGTAACTTTATTTAGAAAAAAAACCTGTCCACAGACTAAAACAAAGAACAAAGAAAGAAAAAGAAATAAACAGCATTGTAAAACCAATAGCTCCCTCGCTACGCTCGGAATCTAAAAATGCTCTAGGGAAAAATATCTTAAATCACCCCACCCCCACTCTCCAACCATAACTACGTCACTGCTTTCCGAACATACACGGATAAAATATCACAATATCTTTTACATTACATCAAACACGTTTAGTATTTTACTTCTTCCTTGCAATATCACGAACTACGAGTATAAATATCAAAAGCGTCTGTGTGCACAAAAAAAAAAAAAAAGAGTATATTTTAAAAATAATAATATACTTCACAGAATATTATGACTACACTTATCGTGTACTGGTATATATATATATATGGTTATAATATTTACGTGGGTTTCGTTTTAATATTAAAATGTAAAATACTACAAAGGCGCGAATTATTACAAAAATAACTGAATAAATTAGCGGAAATCCGTGTGAACTTTTCGCACAAAATGTATAAAAAAAAAAAAAAAACTAAAATATTAGTCATGCGATATTTCTTTAATGGCTTATCCAAGCGCTTTCAAGAGTCGAATTTGAGAGGGAGTGGCAATTGTTAAACGAATAAATTGAAAATTCCGGAACATGATGAATTTATATTTCTATCGATGATACGTAGTTACATTGTTATATATATAAATATAGATCAACGTATGTATTTACATCGTAGGTATTCAAAAAATGTAATATTCCGCTTTGTTAGAAAAAAAAAAAAACGAATAGTATGTAACAAAAAAATAGTTAAATTAAAAACTGAAATACCAATTTTTGTGATTTATTTTTGTAAAAACTTTTATTTTCCTGAAACGTTAAAACATACCCCGACCAAACTGCTTTTTTATTTAATCTATTCATTCCCTCGTCGACCGTAATACCTTCGAGTTTTCTGTTGTTTATCATTAATTTTAATGTCGGTTTTTTTTTTATTAATATAATATAACATTATTATATCGTCGGTCGACTGACGAAGACGGTTAAATTAATATTTTATTTTATTACTGTATGCATTACTCGTATAGGTACTTATATTATGGCGAGTATAAAAAAAAAAAATAAAATAAAATAAAAATCCCCAAATGGAAACATAAAACGTAACGACATTCGTAAATAATATTATGAATACTATAAGTATTAGGAGGAATAGGAGATTGATATGCGTGCATACGCCAACGATGCACCGATAATAATATGAAGTATACTGCGGTATAATACATCCATCTACGGAATTTCGAGCGGACGGAAAACTGTCTGCAGAGTTTTTCACGTTCTAGGCACGATCAATAATTATTCTGATGATCCGCAAATCGGTTTGCCGCACGAACAGCGAGTACGAGATATTATTATAATAGCGTGCTCTGATGTGATATCGATCATGCGTGTACAAATCAAAACGGGATAATAAGAAATCTTCGTCTCGCGAAACTTACAAAAGCCGGATACGCGTCGCGCGCCACGAGTACCTTGTCCGTTTTAGGCGGGAAGTTAGGAATTACCCTATATGATATAGGGTAATTCGGCTTGTGTAATAGGTACCTGCTGAAGTTTAAGAGGCGTATATGTTATATACGGACGTCCGTTCCGCGCTTGTAAATTTTTCGGACCGAGCTCGGAGCTAGACAAACCCAACGAGCTTACAACTGACCCGCAGTGACCGGGAACTATATCGAACGGATACGAAGTTGATACTGGTGATGCTGATAGCCGGAGAATAACCGAATAAAATGAGCGAACAGCGAAATGGTAGAAGTTAAAGACGAGACAGGCAGTTAACGATAAGATAAAAAAAAAAAAAAAAAAACAATAACAAATTTACACAGTTAAGTTAAAATTATAACCCGAGATATAATATTTCGGATGATGTTATATCGGTAAAACAGAATACGCATTGTAACCAATAAACACGCATCGTAATGTCGTATTTGACTTCACATTATAACTGGTATGCAATTACCAGTTTTCAACGCTCTCCGATTGCCCGCCGTGAAAAATAAAATATTTATTGGTATCTATGAAAAATTACCGAAAAAATCGATTTAATTGAATCTACTTCAACTGATATACTTGGTAAAACCGATTCAAATTCCGTTTTTTCGTCCGTTACCAAAATCAATAATATTTGTTGCAAACAATATTGTAATATTGTAATTAATTACGGAATTTTTTATTTATTAATATACTGTGCGATTTAATAAACTATATTAATATAATAATTTACTGCACCTATACTATATTCTCACTTATGTTATTAGATATTAGGTAATGCACGATATTAAATTATTTGTTTCGAATTTACGAGACGATATACCGTGACGTGATCGACACTGGATCCCTTGGCGCATAATATAAATCAAAAACCTCTCTCCTGCGCGTTTATTTTATTTACACTGTCACGAGGAAAAGTGTTCATATATCACGTCTCAAACAAAGTCGTATATTATTATCCGAAGAATATCGAATGGGCGCCTAAGCCGTGTGTGTTCGCCTTTAAAAATGTCTAATTTAAAGTGAAACGAAACGTTATTATTTTATACCCTCGGATATTTCGAAAACTCATATTTCGATATTTGTTTTTGTTTACCGATACCTATACTGCATTACACAAACAAATGGAAAAAAATCTATACTCATCATATTATATAGGTATTCGAGAATGCAGATTATTATATTGTTTCGTTTGATGAAAATACGAAAAAAACAATACCTATACTGACATAATTTTATTCGCAGTCACGAAAAATGTACAAATAAGATCTAAATTGCTAGTATAGTTTTTATTATTTATTTTCAAACGTATTTTATAGATCTTTTAACTTTTTTTCGACAAATTGCCTTCGGTTGGGACATTTTTTTTCTTTTAAACTGTTTATTTAAGATCATTTGTACAATATTTGAAGGCATAAAAATAAATAACATTGTACCCAAATCCTACAATATAATCGTTTACCACGGTCAATTTTATTATAGAAAACGTACATTTTTTTTACGAAATGTTGTCGGAATAAATTCAATAACTGTATTATAGCTAGTAAATTTATCGGGCATATTTCTATCGATCTTTATAAATACTCGGGTCGTATATTTATAATAAATGTGTACGAAGTGTATATTTAATGATTTTACTTTTTTCCCGACGAAGGGATAGTTGTTTATAAATAATATAATTTAACATAAAATTCCATTACGAAATATGATATTATGGAAAAAAAGGCTAAACAGCAACTATTATCGCGGGTGAAATTCCGCAATAATAAAACTACCTGCGTACGCTTTATTAAACATAAAAACGTGCTTGCAACGTACAAGAGATTATGAACAATGCGGGAAAAAATTAATGATTGTATCCATACCGTGAAAAGGTAAACGAATATCGTCCGCGTTGTATCTGCGGTGTTGAAAAACGTTATCTTCGCTAAACGAACGATTTAACTTTGCGGTCAGTACGTGGACGCGACACGTAAACTAAATCGCTCTGTATAATAATTATTAAGGTGCGGATTATAATGCGAATTGCATTTTTTTCTGAATGTTCTGACGCAATGCTTTCCGAGGTTAAAATTCGTTACAGCTTTTATTTTGCATTTTTAAAAATGTTATTTTATTTCTAGAGTATTATTCAATATTTTAAGTGCATTTTTAGGTTTTCAAGGCATTTTTCTTAATTTTACAAACTTCACGGTGTTATCAGAAAATTCGATACAATTTATTTTGATTTAAAAAAAGTTCATGATTCGATAGTTTTTGAAATGTATACCGATGGGTTTACCGAAAGAAAAAAAAAATGTTTTTTTCAACGTTTAAAATAACTTTTAGGGCATAATTCAACCTTTTATTTTTCACTAGTACATTAAACAGCATTTTTTTAAGGTATTTTTCTCGTTGTTTAAGGCATTTAAATATGCACCCTATAATTATATGTCCCGTCTTCCCGACTGCGTATGTCCCACCTGTGGCCCACTGTATGCCACACGCAATTTGTGATCCACCCGCGAGCACTATTAGATGATATATAAATTGAATATTATGCAATAATTATTATTGACCGTGTACCTATATAATACATAATGATATTATTGCAACGCGGTTCCTATGCATATTTAATGCGTTTTAAGTGCACCGCTGTGCGGCTGTATATTAATAATTATCTCAGAATCGAGTATTTTACGTAGGGCACAAGTAATAGGTACCTAACCTACGTCGCAGAGAAGCTGCGAACGTGCGCTCGATACCGGGTGACCGCAATGCCGGTATCTATAATAACCGTGCGACCGAACGGCACGGGTATATAATAATAATGGCAATAATGATATAACGAATTGAAAAAAAATAAAAAATTAATAAATGCAGACATTTCGAATAATAACGGTTACCCGGCGCGTCTACGAGCGGGATTCCGATTGATTCCGAGCCCTTTGAACCAAGTTTTTAATATAAAAATATACGCGGAGAGTTTTTTTTTTTTTTTCAATTGTATACCTACCGACCTACTGCATTGTATTGGTTTTTTTTTTTTTTTTATCGTTTGGGATATTCAAACGAAACGCAAAATACAAATTTCAAATGTCCACGTGTCTTCTGTAAAGCTGATACGAAACCCTACGCGCACAAACTATTATTATTATAATACTAACGATGTTTAAACGGTTTTTATTTTCCGGACCCCGGCATAGGTTCGGCGAACCTATGAATATCAGTATGAATATCATGTTCGATTTCGGATACACAAACGACGAATGACGGTCGACGTCGTGTTTAGGGAAATATCCCGTATACCTAGCAATATTCAAATCAACCGGCACGTATATTATATTATACGTCGGAATATAAACGAGACCAATACGTTTTCGTGTAAATATAATTCGATTTCGATATAGTTTTTTTCATTATAAAATCGAAATACAAACGGGTTTTTTTTTTTTTTTTTTAATCTGTATACATATACGTAATATCTAATAGAATTTTATTAAACAATAAAATCGTACCCGCGGGGACCTCGTCGTCGGGACTAATGAATATTTCAATATAATATTATAGCGATGCGTCTTTTAGGTACGTTTAAAAAAAAAAAAATTATTAAAATCACTCGTAATCACGCTCCCGTCATTTCTATTCATTTCTAATATAATATGTTATCTATTACGTGGAATTCCGCAGTTATACATTATAATCTACTCAATAAATTCCCCTTCGTCGAAAAACTCTATTAATTAAGATAATTGTTAAAAATTGTTCTGTACATTTGTTATCAAAAAAAAAAAAAAAAAATAAATAAATATTAAAAAACGAGTATCTATGTTTAAAATAAAAAGAAACATATTACATAGATATTAATGTGCATTAAGTGTTACTGATTGTTTTTTTTTTTTTTTAATAAATTAGCTCGATTAATAATTAAAGTCCAAAAGCTGGTTTTTTCGTAAAAAATCAAAATTAAATTAAAAATTACTTCATGAACAACAAAATACTGTTTTCAGATTACTTTGCATATTGCATATTACACAAAACTTAACATCGTTAATAGAAGGCTAATTTTTATGAAATTTACTGAATATAGTTAGCTACTTAGTCAACACAGTACGTATAGAGTACGAAGTACCTAAATAAATGTTATTATGATTGTGAAAACCGTTTAAAATGAGTAAAATGATTTTCAGAACGAAAAAAAAATTGATCGGGTAAAAAAAATATACATAAAATGTACGTTTACCCGGAAAATTTATCGAGTTCACATTTCTCGAAACATTCAATTGTAATAAAATAATATTACGCAGTTCTTTATTCGTACTCGTATTCTTATACAATATGACGTATGTATACTCGAGTTGCACTCAAAAAATAACACGAATTTCATAAAAAAAAATAAAAAATGTTGAATGTTAAAAATATTATTAACGAACCATTAACTAAAATAATTCAAATTTTCGCCCAGATAACTTTATAAGTGTTTAATGGTTCTAAAAAATATTTAAATTACTAAGTATTCCGAACTATTATGAACGTATTAAAATTGATATGTTGCTGCGTTAATATTAATTATCTATATTATTAATTGACCTGTGTATAGACTTTCGTCTAATTTATAAAAACTGACATTTTATTAATGTCAATTCGTTCTAGATTTGTTCTACTTGAACTATCTAAACCGTAACCGACAATGATGTTAAAGACGTTTAGTTTTTAGTTGAAAATTATTCTGGGCGCTACCTTCTTTCTCGTAAACACCGGATTTTTATGTATACTCTCATAATATTGTCTAGTAGTGTAAATTTCCGTAAAGATTTTTTTAATCGAACATGTTGAAAATGTTTTGATAGTTCTCAGACGAATATTATTAATGCCTATTCATTATTAGTATGATGAGTTTTAGACAACTATAGAGTACGTAAAATTTTCGTACACGGTCCATTAAAATTTTAGACTCTGAATGGAGCGAAAGAAGAAGCATTATGGTTTTACAAAGATGTTTTTAAATACGAACGTTTTCGTACGATAATTATAACACATAGCCGATAGCGCCCGGTTATAATAGGACATTGGTTTACAACTTTAGCATTGTGTTACCTTTACGCGATTTATAAAATCGAACGTCATCGCAATCTCCCAAAATGTAATACTTTCAAACAAAAAAATTTAAATTTTTAAATTTCCAACGAAAATTCGCAAGCATACATAATATTATTATCTATTATACAACTATAGTATCTGTATACCCACCGAATCTGGCGATCAGGTTTTTTCTGAGTAGCTCACGTACATTGCAACCGGGCTGTAGCGGAAATCCGCCGTTGGGGAAAAAGTCGGCGTGCCCAAGGGAGACGGGGAATCCGAACACTCCGCCGTCTGTGTGGATCACGTCCACAAACTCTGCGTCCGTCGGTGTCAGGTGGCCCATGTTGCCCGTCCACATGTACAACGGGAACGCCGGGTCGAGTCCTGCGTGATGAACCGCGGCCAAAAAAATGTAAAATAATTGTTTTTAACACGTTATATTTGCTGTTTTTAAAATTTTTTTTATAATAATTATTATAATTCGACTACGATTATAATTCTTATTGCATTATACTGCATTTCGAGACTTATCTAAAGATGTTTTTTTTTTTTATATTTTGTCTTGTCTAAACGGAAACGTTAATGTCTATCCAAGAACTATTTAGGATAAAACAACATAATTATTATCGTTTTAGTAACTATAAAACTATTTTGATGAAATGTGTCAAACAAAATAGTTGTTATACCTATCGTAGAAATTACTATAGCTCTATAGCTGTGTAACATACATGTTTTACTTTAAGTTACCAACTCCAAGTTATTAGCTAATGAATTTCAAACCGAATTCACTGAGTTTACTGGATTATTTTAACTGTTTAAATTGTCATTCCCCAGCTGAACTTTCTCAACAATTGATAACTAAAACGAAACAATTGTCTCTTTTTATCTATAATCTAGATACATCTACTTATCTATTATTTTGTCTAACATCATTTAAATATTTTTTTATCTTTATCTAGAAAATCTAGATAATTTTCTGCGTTTCGACACTGGTTACGATTGTATATTTGCGTACTAAATTGTTTATATTGTGAATTTTTGAACGATGTGAAGACTGCATATTGGTTTTGCAAATCGGTGTTCATTTATATTTTTTATATTTACAGGACCGATTTGTCGATTAGTAAAAATGCTCCAAGACATAATAAACTCGACAAAGATTTTCAGCCCGGCGGCGATAATATAAATGAAACTTTAGTCTAAATTTTCGACCGTTTATCTGAAAAATTACAAAACCCCTAAACCAAACGATTGTTTTGACGAAATCCTATAACGTACAGAGTCATGTGTATTTTGAACCAGTCGGATTTGGGTGTCCGAATCGGATTTTCAAATTTTAATTTCTACATAATTTATTCATATTATATAATAATGTAATATAATGTATAGGGACTCCACTTGAATTTTAGATTTTTGTTTCATTTTGTATACTTATGGTTTCCCTCGGTCACACGTAGAAAAAACGACATATTTGTGCTAAGAATCGTTTTTCGTTTGCCAACGAATTTTGCCAACATTTACAGCATTCAGTATTTAATAACTATATAACAACCCCCGTACTTCTAATCGATAACAGTAGTATTTTTCATTACATTTTTGTTATGATGACGCTCAGTGGTCTGTGACGTTAATTTTAACAAAACATCTATTTATTATAGTATTTATGTATAAATAATTGACTCGGGTGTTTTTGAAGGCGTTGAATCCAAATTTGTAGTTGGTTTTTAAATAACTCCAATAATATGCGTGCGTTTTTGCGAAACTGAAAGATGAAGTACATGTACAAATAATTTATGTAAAACTATTGATATTTTCTAAGGGTAAACATCAGAAAACGTTATACATACTATGATCATCAATTCATATGCGTATTATATAACGTAATAATGGTTTTCAATAAATAAGGCCAAATCGATAATAATAATAAAAACATTTATTGTTTCGCATTTTCGCGAAATATTTCGGTTTGCGGTGGTGAATGTGAAATACTTCAAACACCAATAAGTAGGTAGGTATACGCGATTATAAAATATTGTGAATTTCGATTCGGGTATTACGGGTATTTTAAAAATCCCCGTGAAAACCGATAAATATTAACGTTACGGACCCGCTGCGCGACGCCGGTACCTAATACCAGCTGCACCGACGCATTATATTCGTAGATAGAATGTACACGATGGCGAACGATGTCGGTTAAGAGGGTGAAATATTTTCCCGTCCTTTTTAAATTATTACAACTGCGGCCGTACATGTACAACGGATATTTTATTTGTAGGTAGGTACGTATGTTGTTTATTATAACATTATACAAAAGCAAGTGCGTCGTCGGTTCGGAGTGGTTACACCCTCCTTGGAGACTACGGCGACGACGATAATCATAACACCGTATACATATATGGATACGAATACAGTGTGTTCGGAAAACACTATAAATACGACCTTGGAATGAAATTCCGTTTTTTTTTTTGGTGGCGGTAGGAGGTTATTGAAGTACACATTTTAAAATAAATTTAAAATTTATAACCCTTTCGGTGCGGGCGTACGCTACATAAATAACTTTTTTTTTTTTTTTGTATATAGTAACACCAGAGATCACGTACGAATCGTATCCCGACCAAAGGTTTTAACCTTTTTTCCCGTATTTTGAATCGTCCATTCCGCATAGGTCCCTGATTTATAAAAATTGTATAATTTAAATTTGTTTTATCAATTTTAAATGCGGATAATATCTAGGCTTGTGCAATAATTTTATGCGTGAAATATATTCAGATTAAATACATTTGGATAAATCATTGTAATAACTAATACGATCAGAACTTTAAGGCATTTTTTTTTTCTTTTCGTTACACTATTTTTACTAAATCGGCTAGTAGTTTAACACACCACTAACGGCTACTAACAGCCGACACGTGATATCATGCGATTCGGTAATACCACTGCACAAATTACCAAGTACGAAGTTACGAATTAAATTTTTAAATTTTATTAAAATTATATGTCAATTTGGTGTCAACATTATTTTAAAATCTATCTAAAAAGTAAAAGTAAATTGTTCAGTTTAATTGGATATAACATTTGAGTTACAGACTAGTTTTGATGGCTACGTCTTTACTATATACACATACATTTACTAAATCCCCACCATATTTTGTTGTAGCATTTGTAAATTGTAAGTATAAGTTCCTATAAGCAACACCTATTTTTAATAGCGAATTCGAATAGTCCTATTTTTTCAAGTGACTTGGATCAATGTTATATCCGATAGATACTGAGCCATCGAAAAAAAAAAATAATACGATTTTTTATCAATACATTCAGTGTTATTTTATGATCATTTTAATTTTGTTCAAATAAATCAATAATCAAATGGCTTCACCTTCAGAGTGGTGCGTTTTACATTTTTCGAAATATGACATTTTTCAACCGCGACTTAGGATTGCTGTACCTCGGGTAATTGTCGAAATAAAAAATATTGTAATCATCGAAATTACTTGAAAAATAAAATAAAATATCACTATTCGAATCCGGTGTTAAAAATAGGTTTTGCAGTACGTCAAAAATAATTTGTATTGGCGCGTGTCGAAAACATTAACCGCTCGAAAACGGAATTCCAATCGAAAAATGTAGTACTATCCGGAAAAACGAACACGCTGTATATTATGTATATTTTACATTGTTATCATTGTTATTACGCACACGTATAACATTATAATATTATAATACATTAATACCTACGGTGATGGCGTACGGTTTCTTCGCCGCCGCCACCTCGGTATATCGTAAACCTACTCTACGACTACACCGAGACGCTTATATTGTGCCGACCGTATTTACAGTACCTATAATATTTTATTATTATTGTAATACACTTGGCGTCACAAAAATCGCACATCTTTAAAATTAAGTTTCAAACGGGCATTTCCCCGAACCAAAACATTTAATCCAAACAATAAAGATATAAATTGAAAGTACAGTTAATGACCTCTTATCCGATAGTAGTTTCATTTCATAAACAATAATCATATTCCGAGTATACGGTGCATTAGGAAAATGTATAAATATACTCCTATCTTATCTTATATTCTTTGGCTATAGAAAAATCAGTTTAAAGTGTCAAATGCAGGTCATTCACTTCCTAAACATTGAAAAGGACGTACGTGAATACTCTTTAAACAATATTATTTCAAAAAATAACGTATTAAATGGATACAACTGCTAACGAAGCCGCTCAAGTGGCAGCATTAATGGAATCAGGGATGCGTCAATGTGATGTTGCACGGCAACTAAACTTGAGCCGTTTTGCCGTTCGACGAGTTTTCCAACGTTATCAAGAGACTGGTGGCTTTATCTGGAGGAATGGATCAGGCCGACAACGCTGCACAACGGACAGAGATGATCGTTTTATTGTCTCGACGTCTTTGCGCAATCGATTTTCCAATGCTGTAGAGCTTCAACAGCAACTCCGCGCAGCTCGCAGTACAACAGTAAGCACCTCTACGGTTAGGAGAAGGTTAGGAGAACAAAAAATTGTGGCCCGCAGACCTGCTACCGGTCCGAAACTGACTGCACAGCACCGCAAAGAACGGTTACATTTTGCCCGTGAACATTTTAATTGGACGCTTGACCAATGGAAGACTGTGCTCTTTTCTGATGAAACAAGGGTGTGTCTANGGCAGGGCGAACGGTTTGCACAAGCCTGTACCGAGGAGACAGTGGAGTATGGAGGTGGATCATGCATGTTCTGGGGCGGCATTTCCATCGATAGCAAGACCGAGCTTGTGTGCGTTTCCCGAACTGGTGGCGCTCGAGGACAAGGATCGCTAACTTCTGATCGATACATTACAGAGATCTTAGAAGAGCATGTGGTACCATATGCGGGTTTTGTTGGAGATGGGTTTATACTAATGCACGACAATGCTCGTTCCCACACCGCATTAATTGTAAAAAATTATACGGAAGAGGTTGGGATCCCTGTTATGAACTGGCCAGCGAGAAGTCCAGACCTAAACCCAATTGAGCACCTCTGGGACGAATTAAAACGAAGAGTGCGGTCACATGATCCTGCCCCAACAACCCTCCAAGATCTTCAATATGCTGTTGTTGCGGAATGGGTGAACATTCCTCAAGAACGCATCGTACGACTCATAACTTCTATGAAAGATCGTATGGAAGCAGTAATTAAGGCAAGAGGAAGTAGCACTAGATTTTAAATAACATTTAGTAACAGTTTTTTATTTTTATATGAAGTCTATTGTCTGTTTCTGTTTATAAAACTGTATATCCTCAATACAATTTGTTTTCCTCTTCCACGATTAACTTATTTTTTAAAACACTGATAAACAAAAACACATACCATTTATTTATTTTTCAAGTTTATTTCATCACCTTTCAAATGATATATCATAACAGTACCCTTATATATGATTAAGTGTAGTTAAAATTACTTTGAAAAATAATTTGCAATAGGTGCGATTTTTGTGACGCCAAGTGTATATCTGCATTCAAAGGCCTCCCCGCCATCAGAGTTGTTTAAGTCCCGTTTACACAGTGACACGGTTACAGTACTTTCCGTGATAGTGCTGCCACGACGTTCCGCGACTGTTACTGTCACGGAGCAATACTGTTTACTGCACGCGTATGCAAATATTAATTGACAGCTATACAACTATATAAACTATAATATCAAAAAACAACGGCCAGGTTCGTTTACAAAAAAATATTTCGAGGAAGGGAGGGTTAAGGTAGTAAGGGTTTCACACTTTCTAACAAAAAAGATTACATATTCTTAGTGAATACAGCCTAAATATTAACATAGTTCATATTAGTGTGATGATAATGCGGACTATGCAATATCGTCGTATCATTTAAAACTTTCTAAAAGGAGGAAAACCACAACAAAATAAAAAATGACAATAATAACAGTGTATACCTATTATCTAGTAATAAAATTGTATTTATCTTCTTCATTGACAAAAACCACTTTTGATACTATATTAAAAATCTGCTTTCATCATAATTTTCATGAAATTTCTGGGGAGGGAGGGTTAAACCCCTTACTCCCCCCTTGTACACGCACTTGACGACTGCGATTTTATGTGGAAATGTGTTTTGACGCAGTATCGCAGTTAACCCTAATAAGTGATAATAAATATTTTGCACGTGGAGATTGTTGATAGCGTGTGAATAGTGTTTACACGATAATAGCCTGTGGCAACTACTGTAATGCACTCGCGGTAATACTGACAACTATTTAGCTCGGCTTGACAGTGTGACAGTACTGCTAATATGCCATTTACATGATATTTACTGTCAAATGGTTTAAGTGAAGATAGCGACTATCGGGTATTACTGTCACAGTGTAAACGCTACGCTGTTTTTTGCTCGTTTCAACGCCGTAAAAATACCTTCACCGCCGCCGCCGTCGGGTCGATCTGTTAATTTTCGGTCGATTAGAATTTTTCTAACTGTCACTATGGATAACAAATACAATTACGAATTCGATATTCGATTCAAAACAGTAGACGGGTTTAGATAAAACAAGAGAAACAAGCGTAAAACTAACCATTTTTAGATTCTAAACGGAGCGAGAAATATATTTGTTTATTTAATATTATTATTATTAATTTTTTATATTGTGTACAACATTCTATCAGAAAACTTGCTTCGATGTATCAAGTGTAACATTTTTTCTGAAAGGAAACGTTTTCTATTTGGTCTTTTAGGTCATTGTATGATTTTCTAAGCAGTTTTCATGATAATAATTGGAAAAAAATGGGAAAAAACGTAGGAAAAATGGGAAAATTTACGAACATAATTTTTTTATAATTTTCAATTTAGTTTTTTTGTTGTAATTCAGCTAAAAATATTCGTATAGACTTAAAATTCAAGCATAAAAATTATATTTGTCTTTTTTTAAACGTGGTGAAACAATTGAGCCATTTTTGAACTTTTTAAAGACATTTTAATTTTGCGGTTTTTTTTATGAAATTTTTATGCGGTAGTACTCTGCGAATAAAATTATTAAATCAAACAGAAATGCTTGAAAATTTAACAGTTGGTTCATTATAAGTTATACTTAATGGTGAACAGGAATAAATTGAGTTAATTGTAGTTTTTTTTTTAATAAGAATTGTAAAATATAATGTTGACGAAAACCGTGAATATTACGGCCTTATTAAACATGTATAACCGAACTCCGCTCGGAATAATTTTTCGTTAGCGGAAAACAATCGTTGCGTACATATATATATATTAATTGCCCCTCTATATCCTACTTTCCCAACTTCTCACCAACAACGGTGGCCCACCCATCGTGCGAAGTAAGTCAGTCTTCTTTTTTTGCTTTTTAAATCTACCGTGTTAGAGAATTTGCAGTATTAATATTTATCCAAGATTTAATTTATTGACTTTGCCCCTTCCTAATTTCAAAATCCTGGCTACGCCACTCCTTAATAGTAATGTCTTGTAATTTGTTTTTATATACGTTTTAAGTTGAAACTTACGATCAAATTCGTTGAAAACACGAACAGTTGTAATTTATTTTGTACTTGTACAATATTCAATTTACGATTACCTATTTAAATGTTTCAAAAACCTTCGGTTAACCGAACTCGGCTCGAAATTGTTATTTGTTTACGGTGATTTTTTTGAAAATCTATAAAACAATTTGTGTTATTCGGGTTAATATCGACTCGGATAAAAATCGTTTCTACCTAAAACGCTATAATTTACACGATTCGTACAGTCGTACGAAAACAAAACGACGCGTTAAAATAGTACGTCCTCACTTTTATAACCGTTTTTTTTTTTTTTTTTTTCATTCACCAAAGTATCGGAAATATAAAATACACATTATTACAATACACACTCGAGTCATTCGTACCAAACGATAATATTATAACAAACTGTTATAAATATTATCCGTGTGCGCTACTGACAGCAGCAGCAGCAGTTGTTTCTCTCTCACTCTATCTCTTTCTCGTTGTCGCACACTCTCCATATAATATTTTATAATCGAGAATATTGTTTGTTTAACAATAACGTTGTGTACGTGTCGGACCCGTCGGGTGTCGTGTTTGTTGAACAACACTTTTCTCGACGAAACTTTGTTCGTTTGCTTTTTGTCACGACCGACACGCGGTACGTATAACGACGATAACGACTTTCGGTTCGCGTGATCCAATTTTATTTACAGGAATACGTATATACATATTATATATGGTGTACGGGGTGCTTTAATAATAATTGCTTTAGATATTATTATTATTATATATTTTAAGCCGGTCAGACGCGATGAAATATGTGAAACTACACGCGCCACGATCGCGCGTCACAATGATAATATAACCCGGATGATACGTATAATAATATGATAATATTGTGATAACGTACTAATTTTTATTCCGTCGGGGGTTGTCCGCGATGAAAAGTTGAGTTTTTTTTTATTTCACCTTATTTATTACGATTCTCTCGCGGGAACTGATAAAAAAAAAAAAAATGCCAATAAATTCTGTCGATATAATTTTGATTGTAAACGCAACTACGCCGCTGCCGCCGAACAATATTTTTAAGTCACGCACAATAATATTATGAAAATTATTCGCGTATACAAAATATCGTTTCGAATAATACGGCCGTCGAGTATTCCTTACCTGACCTATGTATTACTAACTATATTCCGACGAATTACTACTATTATCTTACGAGATATGACATGCAAATTGCGCACATACCTACCCATGCACGTGTATAGAGGGGGAGGGGGGTTAGTGGTTCGAACCTCCCGAAATTTCGTGAAAATTATGATGAAAGTAGATTTGTATTAGTCTCAAAAATGGTTTCTGTCAATGAGTTAGAAAAATACAACTTTGGTTATATTTTTATTTTATTAATAGATAGTAGGTATATAATATTTTTATTATTGTCATTTTTAATTGTTATACGACGATATTACATAGTCCGCATTATCATCACAATAATATGAATTACGTTATCATTTAGGCTGGCATTCACCAAAAAAATATTAAGTATAAAGTTTAGTAATAGGTACCCATAAAAAGCTAAAAATGAAATATTTGTTATGAAATATTAACATTTTTAACGAATAATAATTAATCGTACAGGTGCGTTTTTAGTATCGGTAAGTGTGCCTACCTATACAAAAGATGAAAAGAAAACAAAAATGTATACATTTATCTTACTTCGAGTTTTTAAGTTTTTAGATTTGTGCTCCGGGTATATGTATATAGTTTTTGTCAAATACCTGTCTGTACTTATTATTGGTTGGATCAAAAATAAGGACATGATAATATCAGTGTGTTCAAACTGTGCACCTAACAAATCGAATCAAAATTATGATAGATTTCCTCCTTGTCATCAGTAATTCGGTTGAGAATATTATTTATTTCGACTGAAGTCGCGGGTTTTGTGAAAATAACTTACCTAACCTAACCCCGTAGAAACGTGTCGAGACGACTGTATCTATATGATAATTAGTGTAATCAAAGTTACATTGCGCGTCTGCCGGTATAATTAATATGCCGTTGATAATTAGCTATTATTTTATTAAGTATTATTGTCACTGTTTAGCAATGTAACCTGTACAATAGTCAACGAGTATTTTAGATTCTAAGCGGAACCGAGTTAAGTATTTAAATTGAACGCTGCTACATTGTAAATAAGCGAACTGCGATTTAAATTGCATAATCGCGATGATAAAATATAATAGCGCACCGAAGTAATAAAAAGGTACCGTATTGTCTGCAGCGTTGGTTACCGAAAATTATTATCGTTACATAATAATTATTGTACAGAAAATAACATTTATAATATAGCCGAGTTGACAAATATTTGTCATAATGGTAATTGTTGCCAGTAAAATGTATTATTTAAATTGTTACGAACGAATTCTAATGATTTCTCCTATAAAGAAATATCATTATTGTTTATTTATTTATTTATGATTATTATTATTATTTTTTTTTTTTTTGAAATCATTCGTTCGAAACAAGAATATCCCGCGCATAGATAAACACATTTTGATCGTCAGAATTTATTATTTTTCAGAATCGCCGCGAATAGCATCACAATTTTCAACCATTCTTGCAGCAATAATATCATTATTACCCGCCTCTATACACTTTTCAACCTTATACACGTATTTTACTCCGAGCCAAGAAACGAATAGAAAATCTTTTACCGTGAGATTAATTTATACTATGGATTATTCGCTCCGCTATAGTGTTCCGTATAACATTTATTGTATGCATAAATACTTAATTAAGTTTTAAAGTCGACTTGTTTCAATCGAGGAAATATAATATTTTCGGTTCGAAACGCTTCCATCCCGTTTTAAATTCATATTTATAATGCATAACAAACGATTTCACTCTAAGCCTGACGTCATGCCCAAATTACGTGGCCATCAATTATTGGGACAAAATGAGGAATTAAAGCTGGCTGACACGAGACTATAACCCACTAACTGCCTAATGATTTCACTATGGCATTTTTTTTAATTAATAATCCATATTTTTGTATAAAACATAAAATGTTTGAAAGTAATAAAACAAAATTTAAAAAAAAAAACCTATTTTTGACAGTCAGTTATGATATATTTCGTTATTAGTTTTGTAAACAAAGATGATAATATCATTAATTTATGCGAAATTTATTTTCAAAAGTTTTCTGTATATACCGATTCATTTTTTTTTTTTTCTAATTATAAATAATTATCGGATACGATTCTGCAGTTCTTAAACAAATTATACGTACAATATTCAGCAGACGATTTTAATATTGTTTGATTGAATAAAATGTAAAATTAATAATCTTCACTGCAGAAATCGTGTATAACGCGCAATTAATATTCATTTACCGTCTATACAAATATAAATAAAAACATCCATCCCGGTGTAGTTTGTCGTCGTGATTAATATATTAAACTTACCCCGAATACTTTGCGTAATATTTTCAAAATACGGGTATAATAAAATAAAATCAGATTTCCATGGAATACTGTCACGTTTAATTTAAAGAACGGTCAAACCTTATAACCCAATTATTCAATCACTGTCTGTTTCGATACAATTTTTAATATACTATTGCAGTATTTATATAAAGTGTACTGTAGCCAAATATATATTATAAGAATGGCTAAACTCGGTGTTTCGAATATGACTTATACAGGTTTAAGTCAGATTGGTCACTTTTGAAATTGTATAAATATATTTGTTTTCGACGTTGGTCGATACTATCCGTTATCTTACAAGTTTAACTATCGATATACCGCTCCTCTAGCAAAAGAAAATAAACAGCCCCTATATGAAATTAATTTAATTAAACTAAGCTCTTCTTGATACGGGTAAATATATTTGTCATTAAATGAATTATGATTTCAACAACAGCAATTTATCTTCCCTATTCTTTGCGCGGAGCAATACCATCCGACATGTCATTGTCGTACCGATAGAATAAAAATCAAAGTTAAAAATTTCAAAATTGGATTTTGTCGATCAGAAAAATTCGATTATTTTATAAATTATTATATGACGTACTGACCTGTGATTCTCGGAAGTTTTCCGATTTTGAGATTTTTGCCAGTAAACCCGGCTATTTCGGCGCCCAGACTGAATCCGATGAGATGTATTTTCGAGAGATGGTACCCTTTGTAGACCAAATATTCGATAAATTTCGCCAAGTATCTGGCTGCCACCCGCGTATTGATTACCGCGTGACTGTACCACGGGAACGCGCACATGGGACTCCAGTCCACGATAACGATGTTCACTCCCCCGCGATGTAAATAAGCTGCGAATGGTGTATATTAATTTAATACCGACCTCGTTTACTGTCGGACTCGGTATAATAGAACATTTTATAGTGCGTGCCCACTGTTCACTTACTCCCGTGTTAAAAATAGAGCTCCACGAGCAAGTAGACAAAACCTTCCCGTCAAATTCTGGACTTTATACAGTCACCCTCCCCCCCCCCATCAAACAGATTATGTCCCGTATAAAATAAAATATTTCGTCAGGAAATCGATTAATTTTCCATTATTTACCGTGTATTTTTTATAGTGGACACACTGCAGTAAGCTAAGTCATCTTACTTTACCGCACGGGTATCTAATGGATTTTACCGTGTGTCCATTCAGACACAGTACATCTCCTTAAAAAAAAAAAAAAAAAAACAAAGAATCTATAGTATCGGGTACCTTTTTTTATAGTCACCGCGCCCTTGGAGTTTCCCTGTTCCGTAAACCCGTGTACGTATATCACGGTAGTTAAATTTCGCTTCAAGTTGGCCCGATACAGCGAATTATCGTCACCGATATAAATGCGTCTCGGTTGATTCGGGTTGTTCCTAAACACAATAAACGGCCATATAATAGGCTAGTAAGCTGGGATTAAAGTATAAGATATTACCGTGATATAGGTAATTCTCGTTAAACGTTTGTTATAAACGGTTGACGTGTCTCACACACGCCGACTGTACGGCAATCATCCACGTGATAACACGTCATGCAACGTTTCGACGTAGTTTCGCGGTTTACCGGCACGTCCGTTACAAACGTTTAAAAAATTAATATCACGAGAATTATCTGTACCACGAAAATACCGTATTCTACCGAATATAATTTTATATTATTAATACGATACTGTAAAGCGCACGCACGGTCGTCACACACAAACATAATATTATAGAATGAACGAACATGTTTTTCCCGGGTATTTGGGGATATTTTTTTCCCGTTTTAACATTGTTACAAAAAAAATATAATGTCTGTTTGAAATATTTGTAAACAGTCTAAAAGTATTCATAGCCGTTTTATTAGTGCTTTTTTTTAGAATATCTTATAATATATAAGACATATACAATATACACAATATATATACGATTCGAAAAGGGTTTTTGAACATATCATTAAATGTATGGACATTTTAGATTCTGAACCAAGCGAGAAATGTATTGGTTTTACAATGATGTTTATTTTTTATCTTTTTTTAAAAACAATTTTTTCATCTGTGAGCAGCTTTTCTACCAAAAATCTTGCTCCGATTTTCAAGTGCAGCACTTTTTCTAATTGAAAACTTTCTTGATGTGGTACTTTAAAAAGATCATTTTTTTGGTTTTCTCAATGGTTTCATAATAAATGGAAAAAAACGTAGGAAAGTCGGGAAATGTACAAAACGTACTATATTTAAATCGTAAATATTATGATATATCAAAACATGTATAACAAAACCCCACTTAAAATCGTTTTACGTTAGCAATGATTAATCTTCGCATACAAATATACATTAAGTTTCCCTTCTATACCTTCCCAACTTCTCAAACTTCTCAACTTACAACAGTGACCCACTCATCTTGCGAAATATGTCCGTCTTTTTTACTTGTTATTCCCATAATACATTTTATTTTTGAAAATAGTTTTTTTCCGTTATAATTTTTATTTTTTTTTGTTGTTTTAATCAGGTTTTCGATATTTACGATTGTTAGCTAAAAATACTGTGCTATATTAATACATTGATTTAAATTACAATTGAAAAAACAACATTTTTCTCATATCGTGTTTTATATGTTTTATTGTTTTTTGTTTTTTTTTTTATCATTATTCGATTTTAACGAACTAACGTGATTCTAAAATAACGAACCCGTTTTGTATAGCACACTTTCAATATTAAATATCAATGTTGGACTTTGGCCGTCGAGTTGCATTAGTTATATGCACGCCATATCTGTAAATAGTAGCGTTGACACTCTGTATATTTTTTTTTATAGTTATTTATAACTATATTATATTATAACAGATTAAAAAATTCCATATTTTAAAACGTAACTTCTCATGGAAAACGTTTTTGTTCAGAAACGCGAATGAATTTTCTAAGCCTTGAAACTGCATTAAGTGTATAATATTATTATGCAATGAAACTCGATTAGACTAAAAGTGACATATTTTCTTTAAAACGCGATTTTCCAGAAACATGCAACCATCATGCCGTTTTCTCCGGTTCTATAATCGAAACGATATTATGTATATTTTGGAAAACCGGAAAACCCGACGGCCCATCCCGTACAGGTATGATATGTACGTCATCTCGTAGATATAAACCTCTGCAATCATAATCACACGCACGCAACACCCACGCACCTCGAGTATGAAAAAAACGCGATGTCTTCCTTTTCGTTTATCGGGCAACAACCTTCGCACCGACCCCTGGGCTTCATCGTGGCGGAAAATGGATTTTTACCTGAACGAGAAAATTATTGTTGGTTCACTGTTTGTTTCGATCGCATAGTTTTCGTACGATATTAAATTATGATATTATATATATGTATAAATATATATATGGATAGATAGATTCCGACTCACCCCAAAATAACGTGAAGGTCATGCACGCCATCATGCCTACGGCCACCATGGTGATGATTATTTATTATTGGCATCACATCAGAACATCGACATGACGTGCAATATATATATCGCCACGATGATTTTTTTCCGGGCTTGAACGGAAAATGAAAAACAAAATAAATACGTAACAACAAAGAAAGAAGAAAAAAAAAAAAAAAACAGGAATATAAAAAAAATATAAACCGAAAATATAACAATAATCTACCACCGAATCACTATTCGCTGAGCGTTATCCGAACGACGGAAAACATTGTATACACTAAACGTTTCGCCGTCGCTTGCGGCCGCAGGGCTATTCGGTTTAGGCGTATGCGTGTTTCTTTATTATTTTATCTCCCCGCCAGACGCCCAAGGTTATTAAATGAGCTGATGGAAATTTGCAAATATAACAATGTTTTAACAACAATCGCAATTTTAATATTACGATAAATTCTTCTGGAACGTACCTACGTATACGTGTACCCGTGTGTCATAAGTGCCCGGACGCGTCTTATTGTGTATTTTAATCGATTGCATTTTGTTATTTTTGATTATTTAACGTTGAACTATCATATATTACGTACCGGCATCTATATACCTAGTTACTTTTCAATTTGGAAAAAACTGCAAATAATCGCAAATAAACGGTATCTAAATAATATACATGTAAAATCGATTTCTATTTAGAATATTATATGTATATATAATATTATATAGTCACCGGTATTAAAACTTCGACACATTTTTTGACACATTGCTCTCGGCCTACTCTGGTGTTATTATTACACTTGGGCGTTTCGCGTAAATAGATCGCGCACAGTGGTTTTCTTATAACATAGAGTTATAATGTGTGTGTGTGTGTGTTTTTTTTTTTTTTTTATATATACAATAATATGTACACACATAATATTGTCGATACAGAAATAGATATCGTACCTGTTTTTTATTTTCTTAATTGTGGCACCTATTGCATTTGCGGTTAGGCGAAAAACCGCCGCGTCCTTGGCGCATGTATGACGCGAACATAATATCGGGTGCCTACACCTATATTTTATGGTATATAATATTGTATTTACCGGTACACATACAAAAGCAAATCCATGACGATACACAATAATACAATATCGTACTAGTGGTAGTAGTAGCAGTAGTAAATAGTAATAGTAGTGGTAGCAGTAGCAGTCCCGCACAAAAATAGCCAATAATTTTATTTCACAGATCATTTTGAACGGAAAACCGATTAAAAACGCATCGTATAGCTATAACAATGTGTAACAATATATTATAGGTAGAACCGTAGAGGTATATAGCCGGTACGTGCGGGCGCAATACAACAATATTTTCTTTACCCGCCTACCTATACGCGGATGCCTTTGGTACGGCGTCACGGAAAATAACTTCACGAAGAAAAAAAAAAAAAAAAAAAGAAACAAAACAAAACGAACGTGACGTGAGCCCGACGGTCGTGTTTTGGCGGGCGAAACGAAAACAAACCACGAGAGGATTACTTTTCGGGCGGAACGGCACGTCCGAAATGTAATTGGTATACACACCTATGCAATATAACCTAACCTTTAAGCCCGGTTCACGTACAGCTACATCAAAATCCAAATATTTATTTTTTGGTCCACCAAATATTACAATACCTTACGCGATATTCATCGTAATCTCATAAAATCGGCCGCGCGGGTCCGATCGGCAGGACGTTTAACTCGCGAAAACCGGAATGCCTCCTACTGACCAGTATAATATTATGAAGAAAATTAAGGGAATCGAAAGAAAAGGCCTTTGATATCGGTTTTAGAGATAAAACATCTCAATATTATAAGCTGCGTAGACAGTAAACGACGATATTATAGACAACCTCGTTGACGTTTTACGATAAATTATTCACTAAATACTCAAATCATAGTCGAAATTTCAAAATCGTGTTTTTTTTTTTTTGTTCTGTTTTAAATAACTGCAGGTTAAATACTCTTTATAACTCGGTCAAATACTTTTTTAATAAATACGGTGAGAAAACGCCGATTAGGTTGGTTTCTACATATAATTATTGTATTAATAAGCAGACTTCGCGCATAAATAACCATAGACATCTTTTATATTTAGTTTAACCTGTTATATATACTACAGCTTTTTTTTTTTGTTATTAACTATAAGCCTAAATTTTTAAAATGTGGTTTATTAGCCGCATTTATTTTAAATTTTTCTATAATATTTTCGTCTTCTAGAATCAATAAGTATTTATGTATTTTTTAAAGTTGTTCTATTCTATATAATAGATTAATATATTATGGATTATAATTATGTTGGATATGGATCTTATGGGCCCCCACACGAGCATGTTCAGTGAGACCCATTATCTTTTTGAAAAAATTCTAGAAAATAAAAATTAAATAAATAAATAAATTATATGTAAATTTTGTTTCATTTCAATATAGCAGATTTTAAATGCATTTTCGTTTGTTTTACGTGGACACGGTTCTGCTTCATTTCCCGTTAAAAAGACATCATTGGGCTTCTTAAGCGGACAATACGATCGTGGTTCTATTTATTTTTTTTTTTTTATCGCAATAACAGTAAAATCCATCGACGGACATATATAGTACAATAATAGTAATGCTTTTGGATCGCGTCCTTGAATAAAATCCGGTCAGTTTCGGCCAATGGGCAGCGGGCTGCGGTGTGGTAAAGAAACGGTTTAAAATATAAATAAAAAATACGATTATTTTATAAACAATGCACAGCCGATTTACGACAGTTCATTATCGTTTAACACGGTAAACAACAATACTTAACACAAAAATATATCGCTTCCGAACGAACGCGTCGTGGCAATTAATTTGACACGGTCGATTTCGACACACGGCTATAATATCAATACCTACCGGCCATTATTAATATATGTACACTGTCACTAAATTATTATATTTTTGTACGGGCACGCGACGATCAAATATCGTATTTTAACAGTCATTTGTGTCTAAGATTTTAGAGGTTTTTCAGGACGAGGGGGTGACCCAGAAAACGTAGTCGGACGGAACTAAATATGGCCCGGAGAAAATGCTTAATAATATAATATTAATGATGGATATACAGTATACTGCACCTATAGGCGAAAAGAAGTTGTGTTGACAACTCAGGTTCTGGAAGAGTTATTAAGCTGCAAAAGAATTACTTTCTGATGCTTTTTGTTGTTTTTTAATTTTGTTTTTTTTCATCTGCTTTAGATATGCTCCGTTGGATAATCATTAAAAATGTATGGATTACCGAGCTAAAATTCTTTTAAAACGTCAGAAAAATGCCGTAGATTTTTTTTTTACCCATTTGGGAAAAAATCTAATCGTTTATAATTTCGAGATTTGAACAGTATTCTCCATGGACTGAATTATGGTGGAATTTCCTAAACACGTGTAATTTCCAAAATATTATATTGTGGTAATATATCGGCCGTTTGTTCACGTTCAGCGGTCGCACGCACAAAAATCTCTCCGGCTGGCCTCGTGTACGCGTATACACCTAAACACGATACAATTGTCCGCCATCGTGAGTTTTTATCGTTATAACGCTGTTTATGATTCCGGACGACCCGAGTCCATTATAGTTTCACAATGATTTGTGTTTCTGTACACCGCCTGCTGGCCCTTACGACCGTCCATAAACCTCCGGGAAAACACTTTACGAGACAACAAAGTATTATGTGTATAGGTACGCTGCACAGTAACGGTCAGAATCGTTTATACCGAACGCCGTGGCGGCAATGATTTATAATATCCCTTTTGATTTTATCGGTACCTATACCGTGTTTCGGGACGCGACCGTGGGATTATTATTCCGAATCCGAATAATAGTCTTTCTGACCCGCAGCTATATAATATATGGTATAAAATATTTTGTATACGAAGTATTTATATCCATCATGGCGCCTTTTTGTGTTCGGATTTAATTGTATTTCGGTGTTTTTTTTTTTTTTTTGTTAACGTTTATAGGTACCTATAAGAAGTTATATATAATGGGGTGTATAATCTCAATACCCAATCTCTGTACCGGGTAATTTTTTTTTCTACCTTTTTTTTTTCTCTCTCTATACATAATAATATAATACGTTTCTTATTTTCCTCCGTCTTCGTATTATTAAACTGTTCGGGGTCGGTTTTTTTTTTCTATATATATAATTTATTAATGTATTTAAAACCGAGAAACCGAGGGTGGTATAATGCGCCACACAAATACAATTTATTATATTTAATAATAATAATACTGTCGGGACGATATACTGTCGAACTGTCTCGTACAAAGAGACGCCAAAACGGCCGACTGCAAAGTAATTTTATTGTGTCCGTTTAGATAAAGGTTGTTATTTTTCTCCTCTTCTTCTTCTTGATAGGCCGATCGAGGGTTCGTGTCGTTCGCATTGGCGGCGGCGGCGACTGTGAACAAACCGCCTTAGAAATAATAATACCTGTAAGGCTATAAATATTGTGTTTCAAATACACAATAAAACCACTTGTTTGTGTCGGTTTTCGTTTAATTTGATATTTTTATTTTTATTTTTTTTTTCCCCCAGGACAAACTGTTGAACAAACTAGACGAAAAAGAACAAGACGAAGCCAAAACGCCGGAAGAAGAGGTGAGTTATCCAATCGTATCTAATATTATAATAATAATCGTATACACTTAAAATTTTGCGGTACACCCACTCTGACTTACTACAACAAAATGTAGTAACCAACAAAAAGTTTCTTCCATGCGTAACTGTCTGTTTTTTTTTTTTTTTTTTGCTATGATATTTTCGCGCTCAAATATAGATATTCGTATTATGGGCTGTGAATTTAACGTGCTAAAAAACACTTGAGAAAAACTTTTAAAATCCCCGAAAAAGCAGCTCACGTGACATTTAAGAACTCCAAACAATACGCGTAAATTAATGTGTTTATACATAATAAAAAAAACCATTGAAGTGCAGTAAAATGAAATAAACGGACGTTTCGTGCTTGCAATATTGAAAATAAGACGCCTGGTCCCCGG